GGTTTGGGACTTTTTGTGTTTACACCATCGGGCAGAGTTGATCAGGGAGATGCTCCCTTTACCTGCCCTGAGATTCTCTCTCGATGCCCCACGGGGGAAGTGACAGGAGAAATCTCTGTTCTCCTCTAAGAGTTAAGTGAAAATGGCCATAGAAAAGAAAGTAGAGCCTCCCTCAGAGAGGCCTGGCCTCTTTCCTCATTTTCCCCTTACCTTCCCCTCATGCAGCTCCCCCACTCAGCCAGACCCACTGCAGGGTCCAGACCCAGCTAGCCATCCTGCCCCCAGCATGGCAGCCTCCTCCCTCTGCTGGCTGAGGGGATGGTACTTGGTGCTCTAGAATTAAAGCAGCTTAGCCAGGGTGTGGCTACCAAGGGTATGGGTTGACTTCATCCACCCCTGGGAGCCAGATGTCCACAGCTCCCTGGCTCCTCTTGGTGACTGCAGGCCTTCTGAGGGTTCTTCATGAAATCTCACCTTTGAAATCCTCACCCTCGGTCCCGAAGCTTTGTCCCCCTCACTCAGCTCATTCTCCTGAGCCCTGCCTTCTCCCCTGCCTCCAGGAGACCCACCGAGAATACCGACTGCAGCTTGAACAGCTGACCAAGCTGCAGAGTAGCTGCTCTACCTCCATTGCCCGGCAGAAGAAGAAGCTCAAGGAACTGGCCTTGACCCTGAAGAAGTATGTGACTGTGGGGTGCTGGGTGGCACCAGCCCAGCCCTAACTCCCCTCCCTGATCTAGGGGCTGAAGCAGGCAGCTGCTGGCCTGTGAGAGGGAGAGGGAAGGCCGGGGGAGGCCCAGGAAGGCCTCTGTGTCTCCGGGCCAGGCCCAGCCCAGGGGCTGTTCTAGTCTGTGCTGGACCCTACCTGAGCCCTGAGGCAAGACAAGGCAGCCTGACCTCTGGCTGTTTGTTCATCTGTAAAATAGGAATTCCTGGCCTGGAAAGGAGAAGACTAGTGTCCAGCACTTTGAGAAACCTGAAGCTAGCTTTGTGTGTCCCAGGATGGTCGGGGTATTCTGCTCTAGCAGCAGCAGCCCTTTGGTCTGGGAGGGAGCGGTGTGGAAGTGTAGGGGGGGGGGGGAACCGAAGTCAAAGATGACTGACTGCTGGGTTTCCAGCCCCTGGGATGGCCAGAGCTTCTCCAGCAGCTGGGCCAAGCCCTCTTTTTCCCATTGTGCCCTGCAGATGCAAAGCCTCCATCCCATCTGACAAGAAGGAGATGGTGCAGGAGATAGAGAACCTTATCAAAGAGCGACAGGGGGTCTTCTTTGACATGGAGGCCTATTTGCCCAAGAAAAATGGGTGAGATGGGCCCCTGGTGGACAAGTCTCCCCTTGGCAGCCCTGACTGCTCTCTGCTCAGGTGGCCTCTGGAGGTGGCAGTGGGAGGGGAGCCTCTGACTTTCCCCCCTCCAAGGGTCGCTGCTTCTTATAAAACCCGCCCCCCCATTCAAATCCCTAAAGTAAGGGCTGTGCTGGGGGGTGGAGATAGCTGCCATGGGTCCTTCCCTGGCCCTTGGACGGGAGGGAAGAGGATGGCTCCTGTGCCTGGGGCACCTAAGGGTGGGAGGATGAGACCAGGGCCTCTCCTCATTCCCCTCCCCCACCTCCCTTCCTCTAGGCTCTACCTGAGTCTCGTCCTAGGAAGCGTCAACGTCACACTCCTCAGCAAGCAGGCTAAGTAATCTTCCCCAGCCCCAGACTTCTCTCCTCCCCTCCCTTCCCCCATGCTAGCCCCGTGTCCCTGCGGCCAGAGGCTTTCTCTTTGGCCTCTAGAGGGGAAGGTGCACAGGTTCTGGGGTCAGGTGGTCAGAAGAGCTGCATTGGAATGCTTGCTCTGCTCCTCCCACCTGCGTGGCTCTGAGCAAGCCCCTTGCCCTCTCTGGGTCTCTGTGTTGTCCCATGTGAAATGAGAGGACTGAACCAGCCTCCCTTCCAGCTCTCGTTGTCTGAGCAGCATGGGCTTGGGAGGGAAGCCAGGTGTCCCGGCTCATCCCCTGGGCACACAATCCCTCCCTTCCCCCCCATCCCCCTGACATGGGTGTCTCAGCCTGGCCTGAAACTCAGCGAGCTCTGCCCGGCTTCCTGCTGACAGGTTTGCCTACAAGGACGAGTATGAGAAGTTCAAGCTTTACCTCACCATCATCCTCATCATCATCTCCTTCACCTGCCGCTTTCTCCTCAATTCGAGGTAGGCCTCAGGTTGCACAAGGCTGAACCGAAAACTTCCTTCCTTGGCTTACTGGCCTGAAGAACGGGTGGATGGGTGGGGCCTCCCAGCTCAGCCTCCAGCCCAAGGCCTGATGAGCTTCCTCCCATTTTCCCTCTCCTGTCCCTGCCACCCCAAGCTAGGTTTAAGTTCATTTTTCTCCTCCTCAGGGTGACAGATGCAACTTTCAACTTCCTGTTGGTGTGGTACTACTGCACACTGACCATCCGGGAAAGCATCCTCATTAACAATGGGTCCCGGTGAGCTCAGTGTGCCTCTGCTTTTCCCCCTACCGCCCCTCCCAACACACCTTTGGCCTGGCCCCTCTGCTGCGTCTTTCCTCTGATGCCCCTGATGCAGTCCTTTGGGGGCGGGGGGAGTGAGAAGCCTGCCCTTTCTTCTCACCAAAATCACCAGGAACCAATTGGAAGGCGTTGTGGTTCCCTTTCTCGGGTTTCTTCCCTGTGTTTTACCCTTTTGGAGAGGTGGGTGAGGTGTAGGGGTATGAGGGAAGGGAAAGATGAGCAGTTCCTCTACCCCTTGTCTCAGGATCAAAGGCTGGTGGGTGTTCCATCACTACATCTCCACCTTCTTATCTGGAGTCATGCTGACATGGTGAGCCTCCTCTCTCTTCTGTTTCCCTGATTTCTTACCTCCTTCCTCCTGCAGAGACAGTCTCTCAGAGCCACTGAATGTCAGAGGTAGAAGAGAACTCCGAGGTCATCTCACCCAGAGACAGATCCAGAGGAGGGGTGACACAGTCACACACACACACACACACACACACACACACACACACACACACACACACACACACAAAGTCACATGGCCAGGATTCAGACCCAGGTGTCCCCGATTCCTGTCGAGCGCTCACATTGAGAACCTAGGGCCATGGGAGGAGGGAGGGGAGATTGCCCAGAACTCGGCCAGTCATTCTCTAAGTCATCCTCCTCCCCTGGTCTCTTCCTCTTCCCAGGCCTGATGGACTCATGTATCAGAAGTTTCGAAACCAGTTCCTGTCCTTTTCTATGTACCAGAGTGAGTGTCTCAGATTGTGGCCTCCCCCAACCCCTCTCACTACCTCGGGATGGACTCAAGAATGTCCTTGCCACTTGCCCCCTTGGGGTGTGCAGGGAGCCATGGGGGTAGGGTGAAGGGGAATGCTCCTGTGCCTTCCTAAGTGCCTCAGGGAGAAAAAAAGAGGCTTAGGAGAGGAGCCTCCTTCTCCGTTTCTCATTCCCCTTGGTAAGCGCCTCCATAGCAGGACTGCCTTCACTCTGGGCCTTCTCTGCCAGGCTTTGTACAGTTCCTTCAATACTACTACCAGAGTGGATGTCTATACCGCCTGCGGGCCTTGGGTGAGAGGCATAACATGGACCTCACTGTGGGTGAGTGGAGCTTCCTTCCTTTCCCCCTCTTCTCCTACCAATCTTGGGGGCCCCTGGAGGGAAGGAAGGGCCTGGCTCTTGGCAGCCTTCACCCTCGGGTGCTGCTGCTAACACCAGGTCCCCTCCTGCCTTTCTTCTGCCAGAGGGCTTCCAGTCCTGGATGTGGAGGGGCCTCACCTTCCTCCTCCCTTTTCTCTTCTTTGGTCACGTGAGTCTACAGGCCCTTTACCTTCCTTCCCCCATCACTGCCCCTAGCTCAAGGCCAAAGCAAAAAGCTGGGGACAGGTTTGGGACACCCCTTGGAGAGCAAGACCCCTCCCAAGGGGCTTGGCTGAGGCTAGATCCAGCCTCAACACCATTTCATCCTCTAGTTCTGGCAACTGTTTAACGCCGTGACCCTGTTCCAGCTGGCCCAGGAGCCACAGTGTAAGGAGTGGCAGGTGAGTCCTGTCTGGTGGAGGGGGGGGAAGCCCCCTAGGGACCCCTCTGCCCACCCAGAGATAGCTGATGCCTGCCATGCCTCCCTTTCTCCCTCCAGGTGCTCATGTGTGGCCTCCCTTTCCTCTTACTCTTCCTTGGTAACTTCTTCACTACTCTCCGGGTGGTTCACCAGAAGTTCCACAGCCAACGCAGAAACAAGAAGGACTGAGTCTAGGGCCAGGCACAGGACAAGCTCTGTCCCAGTCTGTCTCCGGCCTTGCCTTGAGCTGAGGCCACGGCAGCCACCACCTTCTCCTTGCCCAGAAGAGTCTGTGACAGCCCCGGAAGAGCCCAGAGCAGCCTTGCTCTCCTTCCTCCCCCTCACCCCAGTCACCTGCCTGAGCCAGTGGGCTACAGGGACGAGGGATCCTTGGGTGAGGGCAGGTACCCCACCTGCCTCCCCACCTAGTCCTGGCCTGGGCCCCTCTGCCCATAGCAGCTCTTGTCGCAAGCCCTGCATTTGTGGGGTCCCAGTGTTCCGGGTCTGCCACCTCCTCCCCTCAGGCCCTTTGTGTGCCTCGGTGCTGAAGCTATGCGAGTTGTGCATGGCCGTAATAAAGGGATGGACCGGGGCTGGAGGCAGCTGGAGTGGAAGCCTTTTTTTTTTTTAAGGCAATTGGGGTTAAGTGACTTGCCCAGGTAAGTGTTGAGTGTTTGGTCTGAAGGCGGATTTGAACTCAAGTCCTCCTGACTTCAGGGTTGGTGTTCTATCCACTGCGCCACCTAGCTGCCCCCAGAAGGGCAGTCCCACGTTGGCTTGTTGCCACACCCTAAGGTGGGCCTGCTAGTCCCTATCCGCCAGGGACAGCGCAGGGATGCCGGCCTTCCAGGCATCTCGGTCCTGGTGTAGAACATCGTCTCCCCGACTTCTGGGTGCAGTACATCGATGGAACCCACAGGAACAAACTGACACGAGACGCTTGGTTCAGTTTTCACATTTAATATTTCCGAGGGGAAACATCACTAACAAAGTCCTCTCCTACCCCCTATTCACACCATGAGCAACAGCCGGGCCACACGAGGTGCAGAGCTCAGAGGCGAGCCAAACCAAGGGCAGATACAGGGGGGAAAAACCTTATTCCAAGGGTCAGAGTATTTCAAAATTATTTACACTCATTGGACGTTCTGTGGCACACACCCAGCGTTCTCTTTCCAAAGCCTGGTTCATGGCTGAGGCCAAGATCAACGGGAAGGAAACCCAGGCAAAGGGAGGAAGGAGGCACCAGGACCAGCCAGGGCTGTCCCACCGCCCCCCTCCTCCACCTACCCATTGAGAAGCGGCTTTCAAGGCCTTGGACTGCTGCCAGCAGTCAGGACAGGCCAAAGGCCTCTGGACTCCCAATCCATACACAGAGTGAAGGAGGTGGGCACTTTGGCACAGGACAGCCCTGGCCTGAGACATCCTAGACTCCAGTCACTGGGGTAGGGATTGGCCTAATCCCTTCCGTCTTCCAAAAGGAAGGGCAGCTGGGCTCCCCACTGTAAATCCCAGTGGTTCTTGGGAGTTGAGGTAGAGGGCCATAGCCTGGGGATAGGAGGCAGGCTTTGCTCGACCCTCACCCCTCACCACATCCCAAAGGGCACAGAAGCACCCGTGTTGCCCCCGTGCCCACTCTGGGGGCTGCTAAATAGTGACCATTAGCTAGGGCTTGGCAGCGAGTGGACTCTGCTCTGGTGGTCCCCCAGCCCTTCCTGACCAGGCTTACCACAGAAAGTTGGCCCTTCACCCTCCCCCATGTCCAGGCCAAGTGGAAACAACCTAGTAAGAGTGAGAAGGCAGTGAGAAAAGGACTGATTACTCGGACAGGGCAGTATGGGCTGGGGGGGGGGCCAGTCCCTAGGTCTCCTGCCCAAGGCCCTTCGCAGTCCCCAGGCTGGGGCGAGAGGATCCTAGCTCCACACGTCCAGGGAGTAGCGCCCCTTAGCCATCAGCTTCTTGATGAAGTCCACAGCCTGTGCCTGGCTCATTCCCCCAAACTCGGACACGATCTCGTAGAACACATTCTGCACCTCCCGAGCCATGTTCCGTGCATCCCTAGAGGAGGGGGGGAAGGAAGGAGATGCATCGCGACTAGAGCCAGGGGCCCCGGCCCCGCCCCCGCCCCCTCCACGCTCCCACTCACCCGCACACGTAGACGTGCGCGCTGCCCTCGTGCATCAGTCGCCAGAGATGCTCCTTGTTCTGTTTCATCAGGTGCTGCACGTAAACCTGGCCAAGAGGAGGGTGGCTTGGGGGTCGCTCGGCCTCTGCCCTCTCTCCCCCTCCCTCCCGTCACCTTCCTACCTTCCTTCCCTCCCCCTCCCCCAGGCCCCACCTTGTGGGGCTGCTCCCGGGAGAAGGCCACATTAAGCTGGGAGAGGACACCATCTTTCTGGAACTGCGCCAGCTCTTCCCGGTACAAGTAATCTTCGTTGGCGCGGCGGCAGCCATAGTACAGGACGGTCTCGCCAACTTCCTTGCCTGGGGGCACCAGAGCAGAGGCCTGACCACAGGGCCCGGGCACCCACCCGCCGGGACGCAAGCTGCTGCGGAGCCCGGTGGGCTGGGGCTGGGGTGGAGACTGGCACCAGCCTAGCCCCCCCGGTGCCGGGACGAGGGGGAGAAGCCCACCTTACCCTGTTCTTTCAGCCAAGCCCGCTCTTGGATGAAGCCCACAAAGGGGGCAATGCCAGTGCCCGGCCCGATCATGATGACAGGCGTGGTGGGCTTGAAGGGCAGTCGGAACTGTGACTTTCGCACAAACATGGGCACCGTAGCCTTGTGCCCGTTCTCCAAGGCAGGCTCCTTGGCCCTGAGCCAGTTGGTAGCCACCCCCTTGTTGACCCGGCCTGCCTTGGTCTCATACTCCACGACCACAGCACAGATGTGAATGGAGTTGGTGTGAACCTGGAGGAGTGGCAGGGAGAGAAGGGCACTGTCTGGGGACGAGCAGAGACCTCAACCTGCCTCCCAATGTGAGCCCCGACCACCCAACCCTAAGCTGCTTCCTGTCTGTGCAGCCCCTCAGTTCTCCTGCTCAGCCCCCTGCTCACAAGACCAGACACCAACTGGGCCAAGCTTCTCCAGACCTCAGCAATCCTCTCCCTCTGCCCTTGCCCAGCACTCCAGAGGCTGCTCCAAACCTTCCCTTCCATCAGACCAACAAGCCGTCCTGCTCCCCCGTCCCCTGGCTAGAGGAAACTGAGGCCCTTCACCTTCTCTCCCTCCTGTCTAAGCCCTTGACATCACCTCCCTCTCCCCTCCTTTTCCTCCAGTCTCTGAAAATGGGGAGGCAGAACAGAATTCACTGTCTCCCCTCAAACCCACCCCTGCTGCCATCTCCCTTAATTCTGGGGAGGGCACCACTCTTCCTAACTTCTGGACGTTCTTGATACACACACCTCCCACAGCTCCCCCTCACTCCCTAGGTCTAATCAAACGTTTTTACATCCCTGTCTCTTGCCTCACAGAGCCAACCCCCTGAGTTCAGAGCCTCCCCTCAGGCTCTTCTTGGACCTCCCTGCTTACAGGACATCCTCCACACCACTGCCCAAAGAATCTTCCTTAGACTCCAGGCTGACCACATCTTCCCCTCCCTTCCACATTCCAGCAGCTCCCTTGTCCTTCCATTTGGCCTTAAAAGCCTTCATCCCCTGGCCCAGCCTCAGCCCGATCTTCTGGCTGTCCCCCACTCAAGCCATCCTCCCTCACCTCCCCCTCAGAGAAGCAGCCTTTTCCCTCCAGACGTAGCCAAGCATGGACTTCTCCATAAAGTCTTTCCTGACTGCCCCTCCCTGAGTACCCTCCCTCCCAAAGTGCCACCAGGTGAGACAGGATGGAGAGCCGGCAGGCCCAGGAATCACACGGGATATGGCAAGGGTGGCTTCACTTGCACCTGCATTCCCCAAGCCTGAGGATTGAAAGGCTCTCCCATCTGGCCCTGGAAGATCAGCAGTCCAAAGGCTCTTGCCATCTTACTCTTAAGAAGCCAGAGGCAAGGGCTTCACTGGCCTAGATGCTAAGGTGCCATGAGCCTGCTGACTTGGAGCCCAGCCCAAAGGGCTACGTCGGGGGCAGGTGTGGCTGCTGCTGCACTCTCCCCTGCCCCCACCCCTCACTGCAGAGCCTCCATCTCCTCCCCACCTTCTGCTGCCTGCCCTCCAGGCACCGATTAGATGCCTACGAGCTGGGGCACTGGGCCAGGCCACTTTGGAAGGGGCAAGAGGCCCCGGGGTGCAGGGTGACGGGGGCAGTGCTGACGTTCTTGCTCCAAGGTGTCCGGACGACTCCAGGTAGGCACTGGTACTGCTCTTCTTATTCCCAGTTCACAGATTAGGAACCCGAGGCAGAGATGACTCCAGCTCTCTGCTGAGCCATACGAAGGACCCCCTGCTGATGACCTAGGTTTCCTGCATCAAGCAAACCCACCTTGGAGGAGGAAGCGATGGAGTAGTAGCGAGCCTGCAGACGGGGCAGCAGCTCACACAGGTGGTCAATGGGAGGCCGCAGCGAAGGGTAGTCCTGAAGAATAGCCAGGATGTTCCTCCTGGCTTCCACGACCCAGTTCAGGTAGAGCTCCTAGGGAGGGAAGGGAGAGAGAGGAGCCGGGATTGAGGCTGCCGACAGGATGGAGGCAGCAGGGGTCAGGCTGGGGCCGGGGGAGGGCTCACCTTGCCCTCGCCGGATGAGGACGCCATCTTGCGCAGCTGCTCCTGTTCCAAAGGCTCGCCTGCATACTGCGCCAGCTCGTAGAGAACGTTGGTCCGGGGGGGATTGGTGATGTCCAAGTAGTAGGTGAGCGCCGTGCGGTAAGTGGTGGGGCAGGGGAACGGGTGCTTCTTGTTGGACTCCTCTGCAAGGCACACAGACCAGTGACTGGGGGGTGCCCACCCCGGCCTGACCCGGCTCAGGCCACTAACGAAGGAGGGCCCTTAATGACCCCGGGCCATTTGCATTGGGGAAAGATGGAAGCTGCCTTTAACTAGCATGTGTGCACACACGTGTGCTCACACTCATCCATTCTCATGTGCACACACATCCACCCGTGGCCTAGTCACACACATACATACAATGTATATACTCACACATGTTATGTATACATATACACATATACATTTATACAATACATTCACACATGTACTCACACATATACATACATATACACTCATAAACATGTACTCATACACACATACATGTATTCACGTGCACATATATTATGTATACACACATACACTCACACACCCTCCCATGGCCTAGTCACACACATACACACACACTCACATATACATGTACTCACACACACATATATATACACTATGTATATATTCACACACACATACACATCGTATATACATACATATATACACTTACACACATGTACTATGTATACACTCACACATATTCACACACACCCCCACAGCTTAATCATATACACACAGTTACACATACACTCACATATACACACATACATGTGTACTCACACACATATATACTATGTATATGCTCACACATATTGTATATACAGAGACATATATACATGTGATCCATATATACTTACATGATACATATACACATACATGTGCTCACACACATATGTACTATGTAACACACACACACACACACACACACACACACACACACACACACACACGACCATGTCAGGATGATCTGGCCCCTGGCTAACAGCTCTGCCACAAAGCCCCATCTGGAACACTGAAGCTCCCAGCTTCCTCAGCCTCGGTGCTCCCCAGGCCAGTCCCTCCCACTCCTCTCCCTCGTCTCTCTCTCTACACAGTGGAGAACTCCTGGGCAGCCGGGGCATTCTTAGGGCCTGAGCGGCAGCGTCCACCCGCCTGGATCACTGGCTAGGTTGGCGGCATCTGGGCCTAACACTTGAACCAACAAGGAAAGGCTGCTTGGCAAAGCAGAAGCGGAACTAGATGGGTCCCTCCGGACCTGAGGCAAGCCCCTTCCATCTCTGGGCCTGAGCTGGCTCTCTGATAAATTAGAGAGTCGGACTCCCAAAGGAGCTCCCGGGTCTAACACTGTGTGGTCTGGGGGCTCCCAAGCTGCCCACACTACTTCCGCATGTGTGCTAGCAGCTTTTCTGTAGGGAAAACTGCTTCTCTCAAGTGGAAAAAAAATCCTCCCGGCCACAGGGATGCCCCACGCAAGGCAACCCTAAATGCTGTGTGTGGCTGGTGAGAGCAAAAGCCTTGGGGCATCAGCTGTGTGGGCTTTTCTTTCTTCCAAAAAGGGAAATAAAAGGAACCCCAAGAGTAATCCAACACTGACAGTGTTGCTTCAGTGAGCAAACAGTAAAAGGAGAGCTGTCTCTCAAAAAGACTCCAAACGTACCCTACCCTGGAACAAAGGCCCTCTTGGCCACAGCAGCTTTCAAAGAGATTGTGCTGCTGGAGCCTGGTTACTTCTGCCTTCCCAAACTGCCTGAAACCGTGGGAGGACGAAATGAGGTCCTCCAGCCAGGAAGGGTGTGGAACGAGCAATGGGGATACGGTCCCTCTGCTGAGCGTCCCAAGTGAAAAGGGGAGGGGGCATTAAACAAGAATTTGGAGGGAGCAGAGAGGGAATGAACACCTTCCCAGCTCGTAGGTTAAGGGCTGTCATGAGCAATGATGTGTGCCTCTCTGTTTGGTTTTCAGTGTCATGGATTCCGACGTTTGAGTTAAATGCTACAGTGGGATAGGGTTGTTATCCCGAGTTCAAACCCTTACTAGCAGGGTGACCCTGGGCAAGTCACTTAACCTCTGCTGCCTCAGTTTCCTCATCTGCACCTCACAGAGCTGATAGAAGGATCTAATGAGATAACATATAGAAATGTTTTTTCTTTGTCAGAAAGAAGCGATATTTAGACCTTCACTGTGCACCACAAAGGAGGGAGAATCCTCCTGACCAGTCTCCCACACATTTCCTGCCTCCAACTGCCCCGCCCTCCCTGGCAGAACAATGCCTTTCTGCAGCTGGCCACACTCTGAGAGCCCATTTCACAACTGTCTGCATGTACAGGATCAAAGAACAATTAAGGACAGTGGTCTCATGGGTCAGGAAAGAACGTGATGGAAGAAAGGCCAGGAGACCCCAGAACGCTCTTGCTAGGCACATGCAGCAGAGGAGGCCGCTGCCTTGTCTCAGCGGGGTTCAGACCGGGGGCTCTGGTTTCCTCAGGGATTGGTAAGTGACGTGCCGATGGCAGACGGCACCGATCGCTCTGTGCGACCCAGGGAGCCACCAAACCTCAAATGTGAGCCCTGAGCGGGCCTCGACACCATCCGGCCGCCTGATCTTTACCTTCCCTTCACAGCATACTCCCAGGGCACAGCCCAAGCACAGCGCCTCCCTTCCACATCGAACCTTCCCTCTCCCCAGCGGGCCAGCCACCCCGCCCCTCTCATCTGACTGGTGTTTAGTCTCTGCACGCTGGCTCCTCTGGACAGGGCAGGAGGCAGGGGCACGCACTTGTGGGCTCCACTGGAGTCTGCCATGGCCTGGCACCACAGGCGCTTGATGCTTGTTGACTGACGCCTGTCCTGCGTGTCCGGCTCGAGGCTCTATCTCAGAGCTTCCAGGCCTCTATTCCTCGTGCCCCAGCCCAGCTCTGTGATGGGCTTCCCCCAAGCAGCTCTGTACCGTCTCACAGGAAGGAGGAGATGGGAGAGCCGAGCCCCTGGCAGCCCAGCTGCCGGGACGGCCAGACTCACCATCCAGGTTGTTCAGAGATATGACCGTGTCCAGGTCAGCTCCCAGGATCTCTCCAAGCTGATTAACAAGTGTGGGATCATTGGCTGGGTACACAGCGACGTGGTCACCAGACTCGTACCTGGGGATGGAAAGCAAAGCTGGGGCGTCTAAACACCATTCATTCATCTTTGCAGATGAGAAACGGTGGGGCAGAGGGCAATGGCTTCCAAGCTGCCACACATGTAAGAACTTCAAGCCCGGCCACATTTCCATGGGGTAGATACAGGCTGCCTCTGTCAGCGGCAGGAGGGCGCACCAGCTGCAGAACTGGAGTCAGAAGGGCCAGTGGATAGGGGCTTCCTACCTGATTTTGGAATTTGAGATGTCTAACTCCAAGTGCATGAGGTGCCGCTCTCCTCCCTGGTTCAACTTCCGATTTGTGGTCACAGTGGCCAGGAATGGATTCTTGGCATCAAAAGGCCTGCAAGTAAGAGAACGCCATTGGCCCACCTGGAATTCAAATGTCCCAAAGCATAATGACAAGGGGTGGGGACTGCCCTCAGGGTGCTAGAGGCCATGACACACGGAACCGCAGAGAATGGCGGCCAATGATCCCAACGTGCCCTGCTCTCTCTGGGCCTCCTCCAGAATGGCCCCAGCCACGGACCACAGATCTCCCAAGGCCTCTTGAGCCAGCCGGCTCCTCTCTTCTCCCTACCAGCTGAGGACAGCAGCTCGAGTTTACGTTGCATGCTCAGTTGACAAGGCATTTTTCTCACAACCGCCTCTTTGGGAGACAGAACAAAGGAAGAATACAAGGTCCTCAGAGATGAAGTTTTCTTAGCCATGAGCACCAGGGGGCAGCAGCTGTCAGAATCTGAGGCTGAGCTCCTGTTTTTTCCTCCTGCTTTGGGGAGGTCAGGTAGAGGGTGGGCAGCCACAGGGTGGGCTGAGCCCAGGAAAAACTGACTCCCTCTGTGGAAGCAAGGTGGGCAGTACAGAGTGCTGGACTAGGACTCAGGAAAACTGAGTTCAAATCTGACCTCAGACACTTAAGAGCTGTGTAACCCAGGGTCACTCAAGTCACCTCAGTTTTCTCAAATGTAAAATGGGAATGATAATAGTACCTACCTCCCAGGATTGTTGTTAGAATCCGGTAAGCTCCTGTTTTCAAGTGTTCAGCCCAGGCCTCGTACATCCTAGGCTTTTGGTTTTTTTTTTTGGTGAGGCAATTGGGGTTAAGTGACTTGCCCAGGGTTACACAGCTAGAGAGTTATGTGTCTGAAGCCGGATTTGAACTCAGGGCCTCCTGACTCCAGGGCCGGTGCTCTATCCACTGAGCCACCTAGCTGCCCCCACCCCCACCCTCACCCCCACCCCCAGGCTCTTCATAAAGGCTTCCTTCCTACTTTCCTCTCTCCCTGCCCACCACCCCACATCTTTTCCACAGAGCCTATCCCCCAAAAGAACAAATCTCCCACAAATTTCCCTTTTAGCTTATGGAGAAAATCTATACATAGAAAGGCTTTCTCAAAGCCCCAGTAAAAATAACCAAGGCACTGGGCACTCAACTGCACTACCCCTTTCATAATGTATGCTGCTCATGCCACTCACTGGGGACTTACTAGGTGGAGGCAGCAGCCAAAGGACTTGGTCAGCAAGGCTGCAGGAGAGGCCGAGCACTGGGGAGAAGGTCATGAGGCAGCCTTCAGGCACAGCAGCCTCTACCCTGAACCCAGCTGCCCTCCCTTGTCAGCTCCAAAGTTCACCCCAGGCCAGCTGCCTCCCCAGGTGCCCTTGCTCTGTGTCAGAGTCATTCAGCACAGACATGGAGTCCAAGGACCTGGGGAATTTTGGGTAAATTAACTCTCTGATTGGGAATTCAACTCCCTTGACGTAGACCTTTGCCCCGGTATCATTTGCTGGACCCCAATCAATGTCTTTCGGGACATAAGTGCAGCCTCACATAGCTGCCCTGACCTCACACACACAGTCACTGCTTTCGATGGGGACCCTGAACCCAAGACAGAAGATGGAACAAGAAAGGCCACGGGGACAAGTGACTCACTGTTACCTTGGGTCACTGGCCCAGGGTCAGGGACCCTGAACCCAAGAGAGAAGATGGAACAAGAAAGGCCACGGGGACAGGTGACTCACTGTTACCTTGGGTCCCTGGCCTGGGGTCCCTGGCCCGGGGTCAGGCCCTCCCATTTACCGATGGATTCTTACATAAGTCACTCTTACTCCTGATCTCTCTGATGAGCATCCCTTCCCCCAGCCCCTGCTACCTCCCAATGCAGGAGGAATAAACACGAATCCTGGAACAGCCTGTGCTTGGACGTCTTTCAGAGAAAGATACGGATGTACAAATGGGATCATCTCTAAAGGCAGACACCGAACAGGTTTCAGTGCAACACAGGCTGTTTTATCTTAACACTTGGCCCGGCTTTGAAAACCTCAGTCTGGTGGCTAAGTGCTATCTTCTGGGATGTGTTCATATGTGTGCGCGTGCCCACACCCACTCACTCCCCTGTCCACCCAGGGGCACAGCCCCAGACCTGCCCACCCACGGCAGAGCAGGTCCTCAAGGACAGCTCCCCACCTCAAGGCTGGCGCCTCGACCCTGACTTACGGCTTTTGGTTTTCATAGCTCTTCAGCCGGCCCATCTCCCCAGTATACACTTTGTTCATGTTCTCATCCGTGTGCACCACCAGCTCATACTGACGAATGCTGAAAGGTGGAATTGAGAAAGTCAGGGACTCACTGCCCATGCAGTAACCCTGGTGGTGCCAGATATGGAGGTGAGGATTCCAAAACAGAAGATGGGGGCTGGGCAGGCCCACTGAGGGTTTGGGGTCTGCTCAAGGAGGAAGAGGACATGCCTCAAAAAAGGACTTCCCATGTGCCAGATATGAATACAAGCAAACACGAAGCTGAGGGCTGAAGACTTAAGGACCAGGTGGAATCAACAGGAGGCAGCTTCCTTGTAAGGTTAAGACCAGGCTTAATGTGAAAGAAAAGGGAAGCAAAGTTTGGAGGAAATGCTCACAGGCCAAGAACGATTCCCCATGGGTAAGTGTGCAACAAACAGGAACAGTCCTCAAAACAACTGCAAGTGGTTAATGACTACATGAAGAAATGTTCTGAATCACCATTGTTACCCCCCAGCTGCCAAAGGACAGAATCTGCAGCACACTGTGACCAACTGGTGCAATTCCAGCCCTGTCTGATCATGGGCAAAGAGAAGAAACAGAGCCCGGGCGGACCTGTCAGCTGGCACACAGTGTGTCCAACACAGTCAATGCACTGACCAGCCTGAACTGGTTTTTCCTTTGTTACCAGGGCTGGCTCCCTTGAGGGAGCATGGGGAGGCTCATAGGATCTGGAGCCAGAAGGAAGCAAAGGGGTCTTCGGAGTCACTCGTTTTGGAGAAGAGCAATCTGAAGCCCGGATGAGGCGGCTTGGCCCAGATCACAGGTAATTGCCAGCAGGGCCAGGATTTGAACCTACCTCTTCCTGAGTGAGAACGCTGCTGCTTGTCACAGCGTGTGCATGCCAGGGAAGGCCCCGTGTGATAAAGCAAGCACGTCCCAGGTGGGGAACGGCAGGAGATGAGGTGTGGCTCACTAGGCCTCCAAACCCACTGTAAGAGTCTGCATCTAAATCGAGGGGCTACTCCCCTTGAGGAAAGGAGATGGCCAAAACAGTGCTTGAGGATGGTCAGTGCTGCCCTGGGGGGAGATCCTGAGAACTGAGAATGGGCTGGAGGAGGTGCCCGAAAGCTTTGAGCCACGGGCCAATATCCAGACACCTCACCCACTTCATTATAACCAGGGCAAAGAAACCCTTGCTTTCCAGCTGGTCACCCCAAGGAAAGGGCCAGTGGTCAGGGGCCTAGAAGGCCCTCTCCCAAGTGCCAGGCTTGCTGCTCAGGGCCCTCCAAACCATACACATGCAAGGAATTGCTTCAGAGGGCAACAAGGCTGGGTCATGCAAGGGAAGGCTGTTGAGATTGCAACAGCGCTTCTCACGCTACCTGGATTTCGACACAGATTTGTCCTTGTGGACCAAAGACAGACATGTTGGACTAGAGCACAGAGATGGCTGTGGAGCTGCTGCGTGTACTAATGGACGGATGTTAACATGGAGGGCTGGGTAATGTCCAGCTCGCTAAATGCACACTTACTGCTCAGAAGGCAGACAGGAGGAATACCTTCCATGTTGATGACACAACATTAAAAAATCCCAAAGAATTTGCAGATGCTTGGAAGAGTGACCCCAAAGTAAAAAGATGTTTGACAGAGTCACCTCTAATGTCATGCACACATAGCTGAGAAAGTCAATGGCATTAACAGGCTGGAGGGGAAAACCTGGCTTTCCTCTGTGTGGTCCATGTGAAAAAGAGGTTTTAGTCAAATGCCATTATGCCATCTTAAGGGTCTTATGATGGTATCTTTGCTCACTGTGAGGACCGTGGGACTGTGAGATCGTGGGGCCATGAGATCGCAGCCCCCAGCACAAAGGAGGTACTCGTGAAGTTGGTGGGGCTGGCCAGACCAGGTCAGGTCAAGGTAGTAAGGAATGACAAGGGGCCCACAGGGTTAAATCCCCTATACTTTGCATGGGCCAGAGCACATCTGAAATGCCGGATTTGGTTCTGGGAACTACATTTAAAGAAATAATGATGATGCAGAGAGCATCACAGCAGAAGGTGATCAGAATGGAGTGAGCACTGTCTAAATGAGGAACAGGTGAAGGAACTAAGAGAAGAGAGCTCCCTTCAAATACTGGAAAATCTCATTAGAACTACTGCGTGTGCAAGGTAGAAGGGGCAGGAGGCAGAAAGGACCTCTTGGAAATGAGAGCAGCCCTTCCATGTAGGATGGCAGGCACTCTTGCCCTGGAAGTGATAGGACAGTGGAGAAGTGAGAGCCTACATTCCCTGAGGCTCCTTCATTCTAGGGCTTCCAAGGCAGCAATTCGATCCTGCCCCAGGGATGTGACCTGCTCAATGACAACGTGGCCTGAGGAAAGTATATGGTTTCCTTGAAGGCCATTATATTTGTACCTGGGACAGTTTAAGAAGAGCACAGGCCTCTCCACAGGACTCCTGCAGTCCTCCCCTAGGACACAATCTCATCCTCTCAGATCCCCAGGCACCCACCGCTGCCAGACATCGGGCAGCCCAGTTACAGTCTCAGCTGCCTGAGTTACTGGGCCAGAGGGGACAGAGAAGCCCAAAGTGTAGCTAGGCAGTCTCAGTTCTGCCCAATAACATGTGAAGCCAGACCCTGACACCGTATGGAAGGAGGACTGAGGGGGGCCAGCTTCCCCATGGCTGGTTGAAGGTGGCGGCTTCCCGCCTCCATTGCACTAAGCACACCTCCCCCTCTTGTTGTCCTGTCCCCTGTGGCAGCTCACCACGCTCAGCCATTCTTGTGCCCCTGCTCACCTGGACTCCTCACCAGTGGCTTCTACTCCAAAGTGTTCACAGACAGCTGGCCAGAACTGCTCTCTCCAGGTGATAAAATCTTCCTCCAAGCTGTGATAAACCACAGAAGTAGGCACAGAGGCAGAGAAAAGGTCACCGACAAGGAGAGAAAGAGGAGAAAGATGGGGGAGGGGAGGGAATGGGGAGAGAGGGAGAAGGGCCTTGGGGCTGGCAGGCTCGGCTCTGCAAACAGGCATCAGACTAAAAACAACAGGCCCAAGGAGGGCAGGGGGGGCCACAGTTACTTTTGTTTTTAACAGAACAGAAAAATAGCCCTAGGACAGAGACAGCAAGGCCCTGCTGTTCTCTTGTGAACAAAGAAGTGAATGATCCAGCAATGCTTTTGTCTCAGCACTGCCCAGTTTGGGGGTTACTCCCGAGGTCTTGGGCTACCCAGACCATTCTCCAAAACTGTAAGGCCTAAGAAAGAGGCCAGCCAGTGGCCGTGGTCAGGCCTCTATGGAATGCTCCCCTTCAGAGCACCTGGCTCTCAGAGAAAGTGCGAGGGGGACACCCTGAGGAGATTCAGGGGCAGCAAGCCACAGCGAGGTTTCAGCGCAAACGTAGGAGAAATCACCCTGAAGCAGACAAGGGGAGCCTAGGAAGAGGATTCGAATGTTGGCTAGTTCCCTCTCCTCAGAGGGGGCTCTGAACTCTGCCAGGCCCAGGCCACAGGCCTCCCCAGCTGGGTGTGGGCTCACTCACTTCCCGTCATCGTCTCCCAAGCCTAGTTCAAATATCCGCTGGGCGCCCAGCTGCTCCAGCCTGTTGTCCACATATTTCCCCATTGCATTGAAGTGTTCGTAGGTCTTGTTCCCAAGAGCAAACACCTGCAGAGAGAAAAAGGAGCAGTAATGCCTCATTCTGTTGCCATCTTGTTTTGTGGGAAAAGATGGACGAGGGGATAAGGATGGACTTTAACCAGCAGAGTTCAACTGTGAGAGGAACGTGACAGGTTTGCCATTTCCAATCTGAAGCTCCATGATAAGATGCTTGGCTAGTACCTATCTGAACTGATAAGGCAAGGCTTTCAGGCCAGAGGTGGAACTTATGAAAGAGGAAATGAGTCATCCTGGAGATCGCTTTTGGTCCCACCCAAGCTGACCAGGAAATCAAGGGTTCAAAGCAGGCCCCTGATACCCCCCTTGGCTTCCCAGTTGTCCCTCAGAGAAAAGGCAGTTCACAATTTGCCTGGACATCCCCCTCTGCCCCTCAACTGTTTCCATTGTAAGTGAAATGCCTGTTTTCTTGCAGCTCCAAACACATCCCCTAGCAGGGGTCCTTCTTGACCCAGGGAACCCCTCTTCTCTCAGATCCTCCAGAGTCTGTAAGCCCACAGCACTCACCCTGAGGTTCCAAACCCTGGGTGCGTGTACCAGGTACAGTGAAACCCCTGCACAGCTTCCCCCTATGGCCAGCCCCTCCCCGACCTGACAGGCTTCCCTCTGCATACATATTTTACCTTCAACTCCTAAAGCAAAATGGACCCCAGTTGTAAATAAGACAAGGGAGCCGCAGGAGTGGGTTTCTATGAGAGGCTGCTCCAGATGCCCCCCAGGGCTCCCCAAGATCAGGACTCTGCCTGTAAACAAGCTCCCTGCTGGCCTCCTCCTCCTCCCCCACAGCCCTCTCCGGAGTCCCTCTCACACATGGTGGGGGATCACCTGAGGAGGAGGCAGACAAGGCACCACTCATCTCCCTTCCAGGTGCTGGCCTAGGCTTTGGGAGGCCCCTTCTGCCAACAGCAACGACAAGGGCATGACGAGCCATTATTTCCAAACAGTGATGGACTCTGGCATCCCGGGTCAGCTGTGGTGGGACAGTGGGGCCCTGCAGTCTAGGGCTGGCACATATAGCCAAGGACCCCGGAGTGCCTCAAGTCCAGCCCACAAGCCTTCAGAGAATAGTGGGAATGAAGGGGGAGACAACTCACCGCAAATTTGACCCCAGAGAGGTCAGCATCTGTCTCTTGCAGCCAGTCATAGAAGTCCTGGGCGTTGTCCGTGGGGTCCCCCTCCCCATACGTGGCCATGCAGAACAATGCCAGGGCATTATCTATTTCTGGAAGGCTGCTCAAATCCGCCTGAGAAAAGAGGAAGGAGAGTCAGGGCCAGGGATACAATGGCCAAGCATCGGGAAGGAGCTCCGCATGCCCTGGAAAGCACAGTACTCGCCCAGTCAGTACTGAGGGAGTGAGAGGTGTGCATACCAAAACTTCTCCATTCAAATGAGTGAAGTCCTTCAAAGTAGTCACATCAGAAGGCCAGACACTCCAGGAATGCTCAATCCCCTCCTGGAACTACTCCCACAGCCAGTTTTCGGTTCACCCAAGAAAATCCATTTTGAATCCAGGTTATCTGCCCACTGGGTTCAGCAGGCCTAGTTCCTCCTGATGTCTAGCCCAAAATCTGAAAGACTGATTTTCAAAGATACAACCTGGCCAGCACTGAGAATACGTAAAACACGGTTCTACAATCAGGGATTCTTAACAGGGCTGGGTCCCCACAACACGATCAGAGAATATACTTGGCCAGAGACGTGTTGATCTGATGCAGAGGACTTTAAACTCAAAATGGAGGAGAGGAGAAAACTAGGCAGGCACAATGATCCACCTGGCCACTGAAAAGAGCAATGGACACAGGTTCCACGGAGGCGAGGGCTTAGAAATGGCCCCTGTGGCTTCAGATGACTAACACCAGCACCAAACCCAGTGACCTGGAGAGCTTGAGGCAGAAAGGCCGCCAGGCCTGAGCCTCGCAGGGTGCCTTGGATACGGCCAGGAGAAGGGGCAGACTCAAGGGGCAGCCCTGCAGATCAGAGAAGGCCCTCTGCCGTGGAAATCTATGGAGGACAGGAAGCAAGCACAGCAGAAAAAGCAAGGGGAAGATCACAGGAAGGAGACCAGCTGGCCCAGAGAGCACTGGAGCTCAGGAGGACCAAATCAGCCAGAGGCAGGTGGCAGGGGTGACCCAGAGGGCAACTGTCTAGAAACTGCAGCCATGACTCAGAATAATGGAGCCCTTTAAGGGACATACCATGCTTTTCCTGTTCAAAGTCCCTCTTTGCTTAAAGAAAAGCACCTGACAAACTTTCTGCCCTGCCTTGCTAATGAGAAGCAGCTGCTGGAGTGGACGGAGAGCCAGCCTCAGAGTCATGAGGACCAGGGTTCAGACCCTGCCTCTGACCCATTCTGGCTGTGTGACCCTGGGCAAGTCCCCAAGAGCATCAGTCCAGAAAAGGTGCCAGTCTGCACTGGTGGAAGAAACTTCCTCACCTCTACCCCAGTACCACCGCAGGTCCAGTCTTTCTCCACAAGCTCTGCCTGGCTTAGGATCATTTCATCTTTCAGAAGGCTTAGGATGCCAGAGCTCATGGCACTTTAAGGAGGATGCACTGGGCAGTCTCGAGAGATCCCTAGCATTTAGGAAAGTGAATTTCATAGTTTTCAGAAACATTGTCCAAGATCCCACGATCTGAAAATTTTAAAAACCATCCAAAGCATCTCAATAACTGTGGGAAGCATTTATGAATGAAACCCTGCTGATTAAGCAGCAAACTATCTTTTTTTTTTTTGGCTAGGCAATGGGGTTAAGTGACTTGCCCAGGGTCACACAGCTAGTAAGTGTTATGTGTCTGAGGCCGGATTTGAACTCAGGTCCTCCTGAATCCAAGGCCAGTGCTCTATCCACTGCGCCACCTAGCTGCCCCCAGCAAACTATCTTTTTAAGGAAGAAAGGAAAAGATGCCAAAAATCCTTGGGGCTGCAAGGAGAGCACCTTCAGACACCCAGCTTCGGTCTGATAGGATTTTTTTTTTATTTAAAATGTTTCTTTTTGGTTCCACTTTCTCTCTCTCTCCTTCTCCTTTCCACCCATTGAGAAGGCAAAGAAATACAATCCCTATTATATATGGAGCCATGCCACACATTTCCACGTTAGTTATGTTGCCAAAAAAAAAATAAATAAACCAAGAAAAAATAAAGAAAACAAATCTGCTTCCATTTGTACTCAGCATCCATCAGCTCTCTCTGGAGGCGGGTAGCATTTTTCATCATGGGTCCTTCAGAATTACCCCAGGTCACTGTGTCGATCAGTTACTAACCTTTCACGGTTGACCATCATTACAATATGGCTGTTACTACGTAGACCATTCCCTTGGTTCTGCTCACTTCACTCTTCATCAGATAGGTCTTCCCAAGTTTTTCTGAAACCATCACCTGCATCACTTTTTATAGCACTATGGTATTCCATCACAATCACCTGGCACAACTTGTTCAGCTATTCTCCAATTAATGGACAGGCATCCCTTCAGTTTCCAATTCTTTGCTGCTACAGGTATTTCTGTACATATGGGTCAGCAAACCCAGCCTCTGACACCTACTAGCCACTTGACTCTGGGTAAGTCACTTAACCTTTGTTTGCCTTACTCCACTAGAGAAGGAATGGACAGCACTGGGGGTGCGATGGTCCACAGGGTCACGAAGAGTTGGACACTACTGAACAACATAAGTCCTTTTCCTTTTTCTTTGATCTCTTTGGGAAACCCAGATTTTAAAGAGGACACATAGGGAGGGTAAGAGAGGACTTTTTTGTTTTTAAAGAATGCCACGGTCCTCCAAGAACAGTTAAAAATATTCTAAAGAGTATGATGGAGTGAGGTTTAAAAAAAAACATTAAGAACAAAAATGAACCACGTGTTGAGCAAGAGAGAAATAAGGGAAACACACAACAGCTAGTTTAAGTGTTTGGGACAAAAAATAATGGAGAGAGGGAAGCTGGTACTAGTAACTTTTATTTGGCTTCTGCTTTTTCTAGTAAGGAGAACAATCTTCAGAATAGGAAGTTTAAAATGAAAATGGTCAGGTGACTACAGGCTTGGCTGTAGTTAGCTTAGCTGCTTTCAATTAATCTGAGTCACTAGGCCTGAAAGAAGACTATCCTTTGAGCGCCACGGGAAGACAGGAACATGGCTGCTGCCCTGCTGTTGGTGACCTCTCAGGGACCATGAAGAAATAAGACAGTGGCCCAAGGAGGAGAAATGGGCACTTGCCACGCCAGTTTTCAAAGAGAGGGAGGTGCCCCTTCAAGCTATATGCCAGTGAACCTTGAGTGAATTCCAGGACTGACTGAAGAGATGATCAGTGAGCATTTAGAAAGGAGAGTGGCGATCGCTGTAAGTCAGCGTGACTCCCATAAGAACAAGTCACACCAGACCAACCTCGTTTCCTTTTTTGAAAGGATTACGTCAGAAAAATTCCGCTGATTCATTCTGGTTTAATTTCAGAAAATTTTAACAAAGTTTCGATTCGACAAAGTTGCTTATGCTATCCCTACTGGCAGGATAAAGAGCTAGGTACTGAACAGTTACAGGGACTGTGAACCAGTTAGACAATGGTACCCAAAGCCATCAAGGTCAACCTCAAAGGAAATCTCTCTAGGAGAAAAATGAATGAGCAGAAAGAAGAAGAGGCCAATACTTTACATGGACGCACAAAAGGCTTTAATGAATACATTAATTAAATGCATGGATAATATAAAACTGGTACAAAATAAAACACTGGTTGACAGAACAAAGATTTTAAAGGATCTCAACAATTTTCAATTTCATAGGGAAGAGGTCATCTTACTCTATTGCCAAAAGCTATTGGGAAAATGAAAATGTGTTCTCAAAGAGAAAGAAGATAGGAACAGCCCTCTTCTGGTAAGGAAGAGATATTGCTGATGCCTATTATCTCAGGTTTCCCATTGGGACTGGCAATTACAAGGGGCCTTTCATTCATTCAAGTATTTATTCAGCACCTACTGTGTGTCTAGCCCTAAGCTGGGGATCCAAAATCCCTTGAGAGAGTCTCTGCCTTGCAGACTTGAGAAAAACCTGCACTTACATGAACTGATGCTGAGTGAAGTGGGCAGACCCAGGAGAATGTTGTGCACAGGAACAGCCACACTATGTGATGACTGACTTTGATAGACTCAGCTCTTCTCAGCAATGCCAGGATCTAAGACAATTCCAAAAGACTCATGATGGAAAATGCTTCTACATCCAGAGAAAGAACTAGGGAGTCTGAATGCAGATGGAAGCATGCTATTTTCTCTTTGTTTGTTGTTTTTCTTCCTTGTGGTCTTCCCTTTCGTTCTGATTCTGCTTTCACATGACCAACGTGGAAATCTGTTTAATGTGATTGTACATATGTTGCATGCCGTCTTGGGGAAGAGGGAAGGAAGGGTGGCAGAAAAAATTTAAAACTCAAAATCTTATAAAAGTGAATGTTGAAAACTAGAAATAAATAAATAAATAAAATTAATTTTAAAAATGAGAGAGCCTGTGCTTTGAGGAGTTTAAAATTCAGTTGAAGAGCAGTAAGGAAATCAGTCTGCTAGGACAGAATATCTCTGCTGGGTAGTCAGGGTACATAGGACCAGGAGAGTAGGGTAGCCTAAAAAGAAGACTAGGCCAAGGAAGTCAAGACTTGCCCCTGGGAGCAGGTGGGAGCCTCTTCATGATTCTGGGCAGGGGAAGGCATGTGATCAGGAGAGTGTGTCTGGAAGATTCATCTGGCAGCAAAGAGTCCTTAGACTCCACACACACTCTGGCCTAGCACTACAGAAATCTGAATTAGTTACAGCAAATGAATATGACGGAATACTACTGTGCCATAAGAAGTGATGAAAGTGATGGCTTCAGAGAAAACTGGGAAGACTGGTATGCACTGATGCAAAGTGAGGGGAGCAGAACAAGGAAAATAATTTGTATAATAACAGTAAGCTCAAGACAAAAGCTTGGAAAGATTTCAGAACTAAAGTCGAAATGCAGATGGAAGAACACTTTTTTTGGCCTGTGTTTTCTTTCACAACATGAGTAATACGGAAATATATTTTGCCCGACTGCACATGAATAACCAATATCAAATTGCTTGCCTTCTCAATGAGCTGGGAGAGGAGGGAGAGAGAGAATTTGGAACTCAAAATTTAAAAAAAAGAATGTTAAAATTTTTACATGTAGTTGAAAAACAATATTAAATAGAAAGATTTCAGAACTCTTATCAATCACCAATCATGACTCCAGAATACTGGTGAAGAAGAACGCTTCCAAGCTCTGGCCAGAAAAACTATGAACTCAAGACACAGAGCCACAAACACACTTTTGGGCATGGCCAGCGTGGGAGTTCGTTTTGGTTGGCCACGCCTATTTGTCAAAGGCCACAATGAGGCCTGAGTTGTTACCTCCTCCCCTCCCCTCCCACCCCAAAACAAAGAGGACAGAAGGAATCACAGCTGTCACAGTTATGAAATTCACAGACTGAACGATCACATGCTTAAAGGAAAAGCAAACCACCTGAAGGAGACTCAGGCTCCTGAGCACTGCTCTGCTCCACAGTGTCTATAGAAATCTGACTTGCTGTTTGTTGAGTTCAAAATAAAACAAACTGAGAATGAAAGCTGGCCTTGGCCAAGCCGCCATTTTGGCGGCTCCCCTCTCCAGGGGCCACAGGGCAAAGAGGCCGTGTGGGGCTCAGAGCTGAGGGACCTGGGTTCAGATCACAACAGTGGCTCTCCAGCCCTCAGCCTCACCTGTAAAGGGCAGCTTTGGAGCCTCCCCCGGATCTCACAGAACAATCACGCCCTCCATCTCCTCCAGGGACAGACTCAGCTTTCACCTTCTCGGCAGCCTTCCTCCCACTTTCCAGTCAAAGCATCAGGGCAGCTACTTGCTGCATCCCCACGGACTGGGAGCAGGACATCTCAAAACTCCTGCCTCCAGCTTACTGGAAACCTCCACAGAGGCTGCAGAGGGAAGAGTCGATGACTCTTTGGTTTCCTCTGTTGTAGTCATTGGGCAAAGTGCCATCCTGACCACTTCCTGAGCCCTTGCAGCGTGGAGAGGGCCAAAACCCAGGCACCAAAGGGCAACAGGGATGCTTCCTTCAGCCTAATGGTACAACTCTGGTCCGTGAGCACAAGCAGGGAAAAATATTTTATCTTGAGTCTTGCTAGCACTACAGGGATTTGTCCTTCATGTTCTCATGACTGAGAGAAGTTGTATGCTAAAAAGGAAAACAATTAAAAGCCCCTCCTTCTGTTTCTTAGTTTCACGGCTGTTCTCACTCAGACCTTAGCATGCAAGGCCCCTCTGTTTAGCGTCCAGTGAATTCTGTAATGGATTAAAGATGCCTCTAAAAGTGAGGCAGAAGCACAGCTTACCAAGTCATACTCCTCCGGGTCAGCGGCCATGCCCCGCATTCCATAGCGGTGGGCATCTTTGGCGAGGCGATTAGCAAATTCTTCAGCTGTGCCCGTCTGGGAGCCATAAAACACAACGATGTTCCTGCCCTTTAAGAAGGCACATAAACACATGTCAGACAGAAAGCAAAGGGGACAGGCCCTGACCACTGATTAAGCCAAGACTAATGGAGAACAGTTCAGGCATTCAGGCTGCGTGTTCTGGAACGTTTCCTCTTTCCCTTCTCCCCTCGTGTTCTCCCCCAGATTGCCACTGAAAGGAACTTCTCTTGGGTGAGGGAATTATGCCACAGAAAAGCAATCAGGTGTGTGAGCAAAGAACATAGCAAACAATCTCTACTAAGGACAAAGCCCCTCACCTAAATGAGTTTACCATCTATTTGGAGACTCAGACAAGAATAAGTCAGCTACATAAAGCACAGAGAATATCAAAAGGCAATATGTGATTGCGTGCCAATGGAGGACGGACAACACAAGCTATAGGCTAAGGAGGTACAGATCCGAATGTGGGCCTGCATTTCAGGTTTCATTCTCCTCCTCCTCCCTCCCCGGCTGCCAAAGAGCTCAGTCTGTGAGGACAGCCCCAGACACAAAGGCCACACTCAACCCTCCCTTCGGCTGCCCGCTAGAATGTCAAATACCCAAGAAGGCCTAAACTCAAAATCAAGAAACAAAAAAAGAAGCCTCACCGTTTTCTTCATCTTCTCCACGAAGCTGTTATCTTTGACATTAGTAGAGACTCTGAAAAAGACATATTTTATCAATAGGCATAGGATGAACTAACCGTCGTTCACATCATCCTTTCATTTGCTGTCCTCTCCAACTGGTTATCATTGAGAGAGACCCAGGATTCAGTCAGTGAGTCGTCGAGCACCTACTGTATGCCAGACACAAGACAGTCCCTGCCCTCAAGGAGCTCCCAGTCTAATGGGGCTCTCAGAGAACATCCAGAATGAAGGACACGATAGTCCCCCGCTCCCTTCTCTGCCTGAGCCCTGTCAGGCCTCTGGACTTCACGCTTCATGGAGGATACCAACAAACCAGCCCCCATCAGGCCGGCGGCCAGGAGGGCAGAAGGGCCCGAGACCAAGCCATTCGAGGGTCAATTGAAGGATCAGTAGTGCTTAGACTGGGGAGGAGGAGATTCAGTGGGGGTCTAAGGGCTGCCTTCAAGCACCCGAAGGGCTGTCATGTAGAACAGGCTGGAATAGACTTGTTCTGCTTGGCCCCAGTGGGCAGAAGGAGGAGCAACTCGTCCAAGCAGCATAGCGAGTCAACGTCAAGAAGAGCTTCCCTGCTAACAGTCTTGATCATCAAATCAGTTCTGAAGGCTGAAACAGGACGAGTGGCTAGCACACAGAGCTGGCTGGAAAGAAGCCTTGGGTGTCTGGTGACTCTGGAGCAGAGCCTTCCCCTCGGCCTCTTCACAGGCTCTGGGGAAAGCCCTGGGAGGGGGTGAGGGAAGCACTGCCTCTCAAGGACACTTACTTCACTCTGGAACATCTCTAATTGTTAGCAAGGAAGCTGTTCTGACGCCGACTTCCCATGCCACTTGGACAGACACTCTAAGAGGGCAGCCACCACACCTCCCAATTCCTCTCTTCTTCAGGTGGGAGCTCCTCTGATTCCCGCTACTGTCCAAGTCCTTTCAACCATTCCCTTAATAGGACAGACCCTCAAGGCACCACCCCAGTCCTCCTCCTCTCGAGAAGTCAGTTAAGCACAGCAGAAGTGCTTCCCCTGCTGGGTGGGCAGGCTACACACAGCTTACTGGAAGCCGATGGCCAGTGCTGTAGGCTCAGTCCTCAAGGTCCTTTTCGCATGAACGAATGGTTAAGGGGCTCCAATCCTGAACCTGCAATCTGATTCTTCACCCTAAAGGCATCTGTCATGTTGGTTTCTTCATATAATTCCAACTCAAACACTTTTTTAAACACACTGCCACCTGCAAGTGGGGTAAGCATGCTACTCTTGCCTTAATCTAAGGCCCTGATCAAAGTGTTACATGGGACCGAGTATAGAGCAGCCAAGCTATTCCTCCAGAGTGACAACCACCCCTTGGGGACTTAGAGAAACTATATATAGAATTAGTCTGTGTTTCCTCACGTTATCCACCAGCACCCGAGATGCCTTGCTGAGATCTACGAGAGCTAGGTTTGTGGCCTTCTCCTGATTGGCCTAATAATGCTTGTGAGGAGCAGATGATATAATATTTACGGCACTTAGCACGGTGCCTGGCGCTTTGCAAGTGTTACAGAAACACTAGCTGTTGTTAGTATTAACCCTCCTCCTGCTCTTACTAAGGACACAAGTTTCATTCGGCCTGCCGTGTTCTTGGGGAAGCCACACTGACATCTCATGCTCATCATTCTGTGAGTACTCAGGTGGAATACCTCATCCTCAGATACAAAGGCTGCAAAGTCCTGCACTGGTCCACTTCCGTCGTGCAGCCAGGCTGGGCTTCTGGAGAATTATTTTTAGCTAAGCTGATGCTCTGTATTTCCATGTTTCCCTGAAATAGACAGACTACTTCCTTTATAATCTTAATTATACTGTTAATTTGCTTAGAGGTTCTTTGCTGGATCATTATAATTTCCAAATTAGAAGGGCCCAAATTCAGAAAGCAAAAATGCTTATTTCTTTATAATTAAGAGAGCATGTGAGGAGATGACGTAGCAGAGAAGTTTGAGGGCAGGTGGGGGCCAGCCTTCTAACCTTCATAATCTTCAGTCAGTCCCCTAGGAAACAGTCCTCCAGCTTGAGGATCCAGATTTAATTGATGGGTAGGGGAGCATGAAGATGAGGCTCCAGATTTGCTCCCTGAAAGGGCCAGTTAAGCTCCTCTGTTACCAGCCACAGAGAGAAGCCCTAATCTTGGCCAACAAAAGGCGGTGTAGTTGTTCGTAAGGCAAAAGAGGAGGGGGTGGGGAGGGGAAGATGGCAGACAGCTCAGCCCAAATCCATTCTCAAAGCTAGGGGGAAAAAAAACAAAACAAAACCCTACTGGAGTGCTCCGAGTCAAACGGCAGCATCATTTTCATAAACAAAGACCTGAACATTAGTGACCTAAAGTGAATTGGTTTCTCCATTTAAAGAAAAGGAATGAAAAACTGTCTTTCCTTAAACTCTTCAATTCCAAATTCTCCATTGGAGCTACTGGGGAAGGAGGTAGGAAGAGAGAGAAAGGAAAAGTTCCCAAACTGATGGGTCCTAATCTCACGTTTTTAAAATAAATCTTGTAGACATGGAGAAAGTAGGACACAGTCCCCACAAGACTATGGACGCCAGTCTAGAAACCCTGCACTTCATTCATGAGAGGATAATTATAGCTACACAAATAGAACCCAAGTCTCCAAAGTGAAATGCCTACAATGTTTCAGTTAGATTAGCAGCCACCAATGCTATTTTAAGGTCTTTAGATTTAAATAACTCTACCAAAGCCCAAGAGAGGGACATTACCCAGTGAGGAATCCTTTACCCACTAAGCTTTGCTCAACTGAATATCCAGGGAATCATGTGCTGCTGACCCCTGGAACAGAGGCATGATGCAACTAGCAAAGATCCCAATGGCCATTTTCCGCTCATCATAGGGGACAGCAGGGGGAATTGGAACTGCTCTCCATTTTTTCCTATGTGCTCACTTCCCTACTAACTTGGGATCCTGCCGACGTCATCTAAAACTGGTTCTTCTTTCAGATGTCGCCATTTCTGTTAAAGGTACAATCTCCACAGGTACCCAGGGTTGGAAGCTTGGAGGCCAACTTTGATTCTTCCTTTTTTCTTACCCCTCTACATCCATCTGGTTGGACACCAAAACTCTGTGAATTTGTCCTTCAAAATGCCCCATTTCTAGCCATCCCTTTCATTCAATTCCTATGGCTACAACTTGGTCCAGGCACTTAGCTCCCACTTTGGATTACTGAAATGACCTCAGGCATGTTATTTCTCCCCTATAAGGCACAAGGTTCTAGACAATGGTGGCCCTAGTCATCTGCCAGTGGCTTTGGGATCTCCATACTTTTAAATTCGATTCGATAATGAACGAAATTGACCCCTGCCCTTAGGCAGCTTATACATATATACATGGAAAAAATATGGAACATTTGCATTGATGTACATGGAAACCACCTACTACTGTATAACACCATCATACTGAAAGGGCCCTTTTAAATGCAAGTCAACAAGGACTTCACGAGTACCTACCATGTGCCAGGCACAAAAGGGGAGATGGAGGATAAGATGTAACTGGGATCAAGGGCACACCTCTGTTTTAAGGATAAAGAAACCAAAGCTGAGAGAGGTTCAGTGACTTGCCCTGGGTCACGCCTGGCTGCTGGGTTTTCTGGATACTAAGCGCAGGGTTAGGAAAGGCACAGAACAGCTGCTGAGTGCCCCCAGCCTCCCATTCACCTCTCCCCTCTGCACAAGGGAAGACTACGGAAGCTGTGCTGCTACCGTGGCTGGTGTGGCCCAGTGGGCAGCACCACTGACCCCTTGCCCAGGGCTTTCAGCCTCTCACTTCCTCTCCAGGCTCCATCCTCAGGACCTTTCTGCACACTGAAATGGTAGCCCTCATGTGGTATTACCCCACAGAGGCTGCCTTGTAGCACATGCCACCTGACTCAGCACAAAAACAGTTCTCCACAGATCAAAAAGGGCAGGATTCTCTGGCATTAGAAATAGATGCACTTAGGGAGAGTAATATAGGGGCAACCTGGTAGCAGCACCCGCCCTGAAGTCAGGAGAACCTGAGTTCAAATCCGGCCTCAGGCTAAACACTTGACACTTACTAGCTGTGTGCCTTGGGCAAGTCACTTAACCCCAAATGCCTTTGGAAAAAAAAAAAAGGAAGAGTAATATGAAAAAGCGATCCCTGAAAATTCCCAGTGCATTACACGAGATGGCCGCCTGCCTTGCCCATCCCTCGTCCCAGCTTTTAACAAGTAGCTCATCTTGGGGCCGTCAAGCTGAAGTGAATGTCCTGCACCCCAATAAGTCCAATTTCTGGATTTACCACCACCAAGGGCAATCTTCCAGACGACATCCAAACAACTGGCACGGCAAAGGCCCTACCCAATTAAGACAATGTCAAGGAAAGAGGAGAACGTGCTTTAAGTAAAGAAGACTTCTTTGGGAGGTCGTCGTAGTGAATGGAGCTTCTAAGTGTGACTCATCATTCCTACAAATACTTACCTGAAGCCAGGCACAGGGAGAACCCTGGCAAGCAGTTCACCCGCATGCTCCCATGACAGGGACGTACCCAGCAGCAGGGCTGCTCTGGGCCCATCTTTGGGGATGAGCTCAGAAGGGGCTGCTCTGCTCACTTGGGCTTCTGAGGTGGGCACGTCGCTCCCTCTGGGGTCCAGAGTGGCCCTACTGTGGTGACTGCCTTCCTGAGTATAGACAAGGACCTGGCCACGCTGTCTCATCTAGTGGGATTCTCGTCTCTGCTCTCTCAGACACTCTATAGACTATCTCATTTTATTACAATCTAATAACATCTTAGACACCAATAATGATGACATTGTTGGTAATGCCATTGTCTCAGCTGCATGAACCTGTGATGTCACATGTCCCCAGTGAAGATGGGCACCTTGTCTGTGACACGGTCTTAAAGCAAGCGGCCCAAGAGTGCCAAGAGGTTTGATGACTGCCCAAGGTCTCTAAGACAGACGCCAAGGACCTAGGTCTTCTTAAGCTCAAGGCCACCACATAGCCACCAGAGAGGGCCCACTGCCTCT